GTTTATTCTGGAAGACTTTAATGTTTTTTTCCAGGATTTTTCTGTTGCGTGTAGTCACTTTAAGATTTTTCTTGTTCATGCTTTTGTTTTGTTGCGGTTGCACCCGAGTCAAGAGCCGCATGGCTCACAGGGTTATACCTAATAAATGAAACTGAAAAAAATATGAAGGAGCCCTATTGTCTGCTTGTCTACTCTGTTATTTAAGGGATACATGATCATGATGACGGTAGACTGGAGAAGGTGCGTGACTAGTAGCCATAGCTACTATGGTGAGCTAGGAGCTGATATATATTCTGGGTCTCTGAACCGTAACGACTCGGCTGAACTTAAGCCCTGTTTATTGCAATTTATAATTAGAAGTAGCGAAGGGAACTCAGCTCAACAACTTAAGATATCTTTCGGTGGGACAGAACTGGGTTTGAATCAGTTTAACGCAAAGGCTTTCACGACCAATGTCATCCATAACAGGTTTTTTTGGGGTGTTAGTACTCAGATTGTAAATGTTGTGGATTTGCTCTCCAACACAGCGGTGTGCTGTACTAGTAACCAATTGGCATGTTCTGTTTACGTGACAAATCTTACTAATTGGGTAAGTCGGGTGGTGGCGGGTTTAACGACACATTGATATTTACGTGATCTAACCCAAAACAAAACAGTATTATGGATAGGTTTGAATCATTAAATAAACAGGCAGACCAGAGAAAATTGGGAGTTTTTTTTTAAATTGAGCTTAATCATGAAAAGAAACATCAGATTAGCAATACAACCTGCTCTGACATGTATGCATGCATGCATGAATGTTGAACTTCTTTCACACTCTACTTAGCCAATCGTTCTAATCGGATGTGTGGATGAGACATTGACATTGGAAATGAAAATTGACGAAACAGTTAAACAGTGTTGCAAGGAAATAAAGAGTTGCACACTTGGAATTACAGAGACAAGAGGAGGAACACGCGGATGACATAACATACACAAGTTAGACGTCGCATTGACGACTAAGAAGACCACACAAGGACAACACTAAGAAGTAACACTCAAAAGCTCTGCACGGATGGATTCAAGAAGACATTGCTGTACTCCCATCCAAGTCATAACCAGGTCCAACGCTGCATGCAGGAAGGACACCGGAGAATCCAGTGAAAACCCAGCACACGGACGAGGGAGAAACAAATTTCGATTTAAAGCTTTCGTGACTGCAAGAATTCTTCTTCTTTGGTTCTTTCGGTAAAGTCACGTAGAATGAGAATAAAATAATAAATTGATAAAATAAAATAACACAATAAAATTCTCACGACGTTTCGGCCACAACACAAGCGCTTGTGTTGATAAAATAACACAATAGAATTCTCACGACGTTTCGGCCACAACACAAGCGCTTGTGTTGATAAAATAAAATAACACAATAGAATTCTCACGACGTTTCGGCCACAACACAAGCGCTTGTGTTGATAAATAAAATAACACAATAAAATTCTCACGACGTTTCGGCCACAACACAAGCGCTTGTGTTGATAAAATAAAATAACAATAAAATTCTCAGCCACAACACAAGCGCTTGTGTTGTGGCCGAAACGTCGTGAGAATTTGATTGCGTTATTTTATTTTATCAATTTATTATTTTATTCTCATTCTACGTGACTTTACCGAAAGAACCAAAGAAGAGGGAGAAACAGTCAACTATTTCAAATACGAACCTACGCAAGAAATGAGAGCATGCTGGGGTGGTGGTGGCCATGATTAGCACGGTTGGTTACGTACGGTGCGTAATAAGTTCAACATACATGCATACAGGACAGGCGATGACTGTTTGCTTCCATTCTCATCATCATGCGCAGCCTCGACGATGCTGCGCATATGAGAGCGACGACTTTTGGCTCGCGTTTCGACGGCTCGTGTTTCTCCAACCTCCAGGCCGCATTGTCACCCTCGGTAAAGGAAGGCGGCAACAATACAGACGGCAGGAGCCAGGAACGGTGAGGGCATACATAGGAAAGGGTGGGCCTGCCCTGGGCCCCCTCAATCACAATAACTCCCGATTGTAACGGACACCAGCCCCCTAACCCCCCCCCCCCTTATTCAAGGTTATAGCATTGTTCCCATGAGTTGGTAACATTTTATAAATCATGTCTGAGTTTATATGGTGTGTGCCTGTCTGATTTATGGGGGGGGGGGGGGGGGGGGATTTTCCCCCACTTAGGCATCCTTTCCAGAAAAACCCCCTAAACTTGAATTTTTTTTCATTAAACTTTTACTAAAAGTTTACAATTACTGCCACACGTCCTATACGTTCCGTGTCCAGGGATACCTGCCGTGGTGTGGTCAGTTAGCACAATGGACTTTAAATCCAAACGTCGCCTGCTCGATCTCCAGGCGGGGCAGTTGAAGGAATGGGGAAAGTTTCTCAAATGCCCCCGCCCCTCCAACCACGTTCCTCCCACCTCTTGTCCACCCAGCAGTACAAATGTGTTCACCATGGGTCGCATGTGGTGGAGTAAAGTGTGGGGTAACCACCGCCTCTCTCAAGATGTCTGACCAGCATAGAAGAATAGGCCAAAGTATCCTCTCTAGAGCTCCGTTCCGGCGGAGGGCCCGTCCACCAGCAGTGGCGTGAGCAAGCAATTGCAGGGCTGCACCCTTAACTCGTTACATGATGCCACGCATGCATGTATGTTGAACTTATTTTGCACCGTACGTAGCCAACCGTGCTAATCGGAGGTGCGGTGGGAGGACAACAAACTAAACACAAAGAAATAAGTTAGAAAAGAATTAGTGATTCATCGTTAATTCTAAGAGTGTAATCATGCAAACAATGTTAGGAGTTGTTTAGTCTCGTCGGTTTGTTATTTTTATTGCCATTCCCCATGTGTTTAACTTTATCTTTCTCTGAACATAAGTCAAGGTTAAGAAGCAGGAATTGTCCCGAGCCCCGTCCGGCCAGTTTTGGTCCAAATCTCAAGCAAACATATTGCAAGCATCATTGCATGTGGCAAGTCTATATATTGTCAATATTAAAGGAATATTTTTTTTTCAGATAACAATAAACTCAACACATTTGTCAATAACACTGCCTTGAAAGGAAACAAGATGTAATTATGCAATGTTTCGGGCATGCTTCTTCTTCGGAACAAATGTGAAGTGTCCGGGCAATGGTCCTTCTTAAAATTATGCTTTTAACCTGTAAAACATTCTCTACTCCATGTGTTCCTTTTTCTACCTCAATATAAATCCATCCAGCATAATATACTGAGTGGATTTAAATTGCTTGCATGTACATATAGTAGCAAAACAATGAACTGCAATAAGCACAGCAGTGACCCAGATAAACACGTGCCCTGGCCACGATTATTGCCAACAAAACTGCGGTCTGTTGTTTTCATTACAAAAAAAAATCCCCGTCTTGGATCTCAGCCCATCTGCCGTGATGATGAGGATGTGCATTACGGTGGTGATGATGATAACAATTAAGATGGTTATTCATGTACACACCACACAATCATTATGGATGAAAACCACATTCACAATTGTATAAATTACAATGCATATCCAAGTAGAACTCCATTGTGGATTCCCACATATTGATGACTATGTTTTAATCCATCCGCCTATTTGGTATCCGAACTAATACTATCAAACAGTATTTGTTAAGCAAGCAAACTCTGGCCCGCTTTCGACCTTCTGAGTCTCATTAGCAGAGCCAGGCTTTGTTTTACCACAATGCAGCAGATTTATCAGACCTCGGATCTAGATGTGTATCTACTGTATAGTCTATTCGTTTTACCATTAAACCAATTCAACAATGACAACGTTTCAGGCAATGGCCCTTTATCTCGCACATAAAGAACCGTTGTCTATTTGAAAAATGGGCATTGCTTGAAACGTCGCTTTTTAAAATTCAAATGTGTCCGTTTTAAAGGCACTGTTGGTGATCATTATTTGCGTTATTATTTGTGTTTTTGCACAACTGCCAACGCAGCATCACCGGACAATTAGTGTATCGCCACTACACCGCAGTCAATAACACATTTTTGCATTGGATAACTGAATGTGACGATGATGATGGTAGTGGTGGTGTGGTGATAGTGGTGGTGACTCGGGGAGCAAGGCTATACAGTCGTGAAGAGCTCCTAATAATATGTACACGTGTCTTTTTTACGTTCCATTAGCCCTGCCTAAATGTGGCTCCGTTGACAAAAGACATGTTCCCATTCAGCCCATTGTTCGCGTATTTCCACGCGTGGATGCCCATGCCTTTTGTTACGCATTCAGAGCAAATGCTTTTTTGTTGGTAAGAAGGCTGCTTCATTAACATCGCGGTTTGTATAACACACGGCGCCTCCAATGCATCTTGGCTTCAACACACAAATGGCCACAGTCGTGCGTGTCCATGCACGTGTATCTGTGTGAGTTGAGGAGTGCTGTGGAACAGCAACCACGCCCGGCCGCCTTCGTCTCCACATATGCCGAGGGGTTATTTTGTGCAGCACATCGCAGGAGTTGAAGGACGCGGAGGCCGGTTTCAAACATCACCGCTCGAGCCGCCGGTGTGAGCCGTGGTCGGGAATGAATCAATCGATCAGGTGGCTCGCTCAACAGTACCATGCGTCTTTGTGTACACGCGTGTCCGTGTGCGCGCGCGCGTGTGTGTGTGTGTGCCATGTGTGTCGGAGGAGCGGTGGTGTAGCGGTTAGCGCTACGAACCCGGCGACCCGAGTTCGATTCCCCGCTCACGGCCAACACCGGTCACGATTATCTGTGCCTCCCCTAGGTCGGCTCAGCAATAAAATGAGTACCTGGTGCGGTGCGTAAACATCGCCACTGGGGATACAAAGGCGGCCGGGCGTGGTGCTGGCCACCCTCCCCCCCCCCGGTGTGCCGTGCCGGCCTTCACAGGTGCTCGCTAACAGCACTTGCCCCTACAGTCTGTCACAGGCTATATGCGGGGGGGATCTCTGTCTTTGCGTGCGTGCGCGCCACGAATGAGCAAGTTCCATACTGACCGAGGAGCAGTCCAGCGATGTCGCCAAGGAGGAGTCGAACCCGGGCGGCCTGACTGCGGGGAGATCCGTCTTTGCATGTCCCATCCGAGCCGGATCCCGTCTCCAGGTCCTTCGCCTTCTGGTACTGGTAGCAGGTCTCCATTTCTTAAGCTTTGCTCCGTGTGTGTCTCTCTCAATGCCCCTCCTTCCTCCGAGTGAAACGACTTCCCGTCCCTTAGCCGGCGCGGCGCGTCTATAATGAACACCGCATGCAGTGGGCCCGGCCTATTTATGTTTTCTGCACCCTCACGGAACCCCTCCTCCACCTCCCCCTCCACCCCCACGGATCAACAGCAGCACGAACGACGTGACAGCTTAAATGCCCCTACGCGTATGCTTGAGACGGCCAGCGCGAACGATCAGAGCGAGCGCGGTTGGCTACGTGCGCACGTGCGAAAGAAGAAATTCAACGCCGCTCGAACCGTTCAGCGCGCGCTGTTCCTGTTCATCTCGGAGACCAACGAAGTTGCTCATTAAGTTGGTGCACAGCCTATCTGCCCACACTTCTTCAGTGTTGGTGGATACAAGTGCGTGTGCGCGCGTGTGCGTACGCTTGCGTCTTGTCGGCTGGCTGTTCGAGTTGCTTATAGCCCTTGGAACTTGCTCGGTGGTAAAAGGGAAATTACCGTTGCATCGACGGCTCTCGATGCAACGTGAATACGTGTGCTGAAGATAATTTTTCTTAACGATTGGCTTCTGGTGAAACTCATGAGGTTGGGCTCGGAGGGGATCTCTCGGGAGGGAGTGATTTTGTTGTGATAAAACAGACAGTCGTCGTATTGAGCTTATCCGTGTTAAGAGTTGCTGCGTTAGAAAAAACAAGCTCACGTTGTCGTGAACCCAACGTGACCGTTCCTAGAAGGCGCTCATCATAATTGAACACATCTAAATATGTGTTTGACATTATATACATCATATGCGGTAATCTGTAGCACTTCAATGTTGTTCGTCACACCGGGCTTAAACGTATTATGTATGTATTGACTAGTTGTATTCCACTGTAGGTGTGTTAGTATATTAGCCATTTCGATTTAAAGCTTTCGTGACTGCAAGGATTCATCTTCCTTGGTTCTTTCGGTAAAGTCACGTAGAATGAGAATAAAATAATAATAAAATGTGTTATTTTATTTTATCAATTTATTATTTTATTCTCATTCTACGTGACTTTACCGAAATAACCAAATAAGATATTAGCCATTGTCACGGGACCTCTTTTGCCAGTAGCAAAGTATGAAAAATAAGAATAGGTTCTCAACACCGGTTTTATTGCCAGAAAGAGTAAAACGTATTCTTATTTTTCATATCAGCAATTGTTTATAATGCATAACGAATATCTGTAATAATAAAAATAGTGGTGTGCGAAGGTATATTAATAATGACGCCCTCTATGTATTTAGCAAAGTATCCCTGAATTGTAATGGGCCCTGAATTGTGATGTTTGCAATCGGAGAACGTGGGGAACCCCCACCGCACACACAGGGAGGGAACCACTTGAGAGCTCCGCACGGATAGATTCAAGAATCCATTGCTTGGAGACGCACCTTGCCCACCATGCAGCCCAAGCGGACGCACGCCTCTGAGATTCCCTTGGCAAGTCTCCCATCCAAGCAGTAACCAGACACAAACCGACTTTAGCTTCACTCAAGCTGGCGGAGGCCTGCAGCTTTCACGGAAACTCGGTGGCAGGACTTGGGGGGAGGGGGGGGTGAACACGCGAGTCGTTTTAATTGCTGCTAAATTATTTAACGCAGGAGTTGAGACCCCGTTGTGATTCGACGGTAATTATTTCTGAGGCTACTGACGATTACGTCTCTCTTCCCCCCGTCTGCCTCCACCCTCATACAAAGATCCCCCCCCCCCCGTGTGTAGCCTTCGTATGCTACTGCTGGGGCAATTGCTTATAGCCGTGCACCAATTGTTGGTCACGTAGCTACAGAATGCATTCCTTTGTGCGTCTCGGTGTGCATGTGTGTGGTGCGCGCGTGTACATATTCATATGGGGAGCCGTAGAGTGCAGCGGTTAGCGCGCTGCGATACGAAACCGACCACCTAATTTCGATTCCCGCTCACGGCCAACATTGAGGACGAATATCTGAACCAGTCCTGGGCCTCCCCTAGGACGACTCAGCCACAAATGAGTATCTGGTGCGGTGTGTAAAACATCGCCAATTGGGAGATAAAGGCGGCCGGGCAAGGTGTTGGCCACCCCGCCCCCTTCATAAGTGCTCGCTAACAGCACTTGTCCTAGCAATCTGTTTAGGGTAAAATGGGCATCTTTGTCAATTGGTGGGGAGCAGTTGCGCAGTGGTTAGCGCACTGCGCTACGAACCTAGCGACCTGAATTCGATCCCGAGCCCCCAACACAAACCCTTGAAATTTGGTGGAGCAGTCTAAGAAGAGTTTTTTCGGACATAAACACAGATTATTATTATTATCCACTTATTAATGCAGGCGTATGCATGTATTGGCGTGGAATGGAAGTGTAGCGGTTAGCGCTCTAAATCCCGACGGTCCCTCTTAGGTCACGGCTAACATCAGTGGTTTTCCTGGGCCTCTCCCCCCTCTTCGCAAAACCCGCACTGATCAAGTGTAGTGAAGTATGGTCAATCAACACCCATGACCGACACGACTCGGGGAGGTCTTCATCCAACAGTGGATTGATACATTTCCGTATACTACTGTTTACATTTTAAACAGATATAATTGTCGTAAAGTCTAACCAGAGCATCATGTGAAAGTCGGGTGCAATTGTGAGCCGAAACTGGGTGCAATTTGTCACATTTCCAATGGGGGATAATGAAATAGACTTTTACCAACATGCACTGACCAGCGTGGTGAAGTATGGTCAAACAACCCCCGTAAACTATACGAGGTGAGACGGCTTTCAGCCAATAAAATACTGACAAATAACTTAAAATAATTAATGAACATATAAGAGGTGATATTAACTAAATGTGTTGTATGCACTTTGAAACTTATCGTATTGCACTTTACCCTGGGAAGTCTCACTGAGTCTCAATACTCGTTTTCAGGAGAGTGCTGCTACATTGGGATGTTTGGAGCAAATTCAAATCACCATTATTTGGCTTCTCGTTGGGAAGAAACCGGACAACCCAGAGTATCCCCCACCAAAGCATAAGAGGGGGTTACACTCAAACCTCCGCATCGGGAAATCCAAGAATCCATCTCTGTGCTTTAATTTGCTGGTCACCTCGCAGCCAACCCCAACCTTGCATCATCTGCAATTCCTCAAGTTGTCTCCCATTCAAGTACCAACTAGACTCAGCCCTGGCATTGTCAACTCAACATTTATTTTTGTTACATTGGGCGGCAGTGGGAGGGAAAAAAAATCACCACCGGAGAAAAACAATAAACAGAACCAGGGAAATCCCTCCAACCCCCTGTATCTGTATGTAACTAATAAAGCGAGTGTTGTACTCAGTATTCTGTCAGAACACAAGCTATGCATTCTTTGTTTTTTGGCACTCGTTTGAAGAGAATGAATTCGTCTAAATGTCCATCGGTGTCGTCAAATTTGGGTTCTGCATCATACAAGGCACCGTGAAATCTTCGTCGAATTTTAGATGCTTATATAACCGGAGCCCGGCTAACATCAGTGGCGATTGATATCTGCTACGGTCCTAGCCCCCCCCCCCCCCCCTTCCTGTTTACCAACCAACCTGCACTGACCAGCGTGGTGAAGTATGGTCAAAAATCACCCATGCCCGACACGGCGTTGGGAGGCTTTCTTCAAGCAGAAGGATGGATGGCAAAGTGGTGTGAACTACAAGAGATAATTTAAAATATGTGAATGATAGCATATCCATTGACGTGTAAAACAACACAATGCACAGGAGATAATAATCTCGCGTGCGATAATTATGTATAGGCAGTGCAACTGTGGAAGTAAGACTGTCACAGGACTCGGACTTTATATAAAACATGTAAAGAGCACAGCCATACAATTACGTACGCACGCCACTGCTGGTGGAAGTTTGTTGCCATCCCCAGCACTTCCGATTAGCACGGCTGGCTACGTACAGTGTGAAAGAAGTTCAAAATACATACATGTAGAGAGCCCAGAGAGGGCACTTTGGCCTACTCTTCCAGACTGACCAAACTTCTTGGAAGAGCGGGGAGTGCCCAATCGCGACCTATCAATCGACTGTGGTGTACGCATGCATACTGCTGTTTGGATGGAGTTGGTGGGGGGCATTTAAACTGGCACGCTGGTAGATGGAACCGGCAACCTCTGGATCGCAAGTCCAGTGCGCGAACCATCACACAACACACGGTTAGCGACGATGCGCTTATACTACCCGTAAACTACGTAACTCAGGAGTCTTATGCAATCAATTAAACACATCGTTCGTATATGTACAGTATCTTAAATTTAAACCCAACACTCTGATAAAAATCAGCGGGAGAAATAATCTCGCAGCGTATACTGCGCCGTGCGTGGAGCACACCGCAACATTTACGCTCACACAATGACCACATGCGCGTGTGAAATACACTATACTTGCATGGTTGCCAACGATAACGTCCACAGCGCTTACTAATGCCTCTGCCACATCCCGTATGCTCGTGCAACACTTTTCCATTCTCCCCCTACAACCTATATCGTGTAATGCTTTCATGGGATTATAACATTACTATTGCATGGGTCACCAGCATCATCACCCCCCACGCTTTCCCGTTTCCCAGGAATCAAACAAGCGGCCAGCTAATCAACTTGGAAATGCGGTATTTAAAAAATACGGGGATGCAGTATTAACAATGCCTATGACCTAATCCTCCGGAATTGTATATTCCGTTGTGGGGCTACGTTGTTACAACTGTACTTAATCGTTGCATTGTACTTCTATGCTCCCACCACAATACTCACCGCCCACCAACTCGCACTGACCAGCATGGTAAAGCGTTATGGGGTAGGTCCTCATGTGGAAGGGGGTTGATCAAAGGGCTGGCCGTACATGTAAATAATAATGTTATTTATCTCCATTTAAAAACCTCACAGTCTAAATAATTAATTGGGGGTCCTGCATTTGGGGTTTTTGGCCAATCCCTTTTGAGTGTATATTAAAAAAAAGCGATTGAGCGACAGGCCTAAAAACGTCAAGCAGTCAGCAACAAACGGCGCCATCGAAGTTGTAATAAATAAGTTAATATCGTTCTTGAATCGCCACGGAAGATGCTGAAAGGGAAGTTTTTGACGTGGGAAGAAACGTGAAAAAAACCCAGCACGGATATCAGAGGTGGAGCAGCACTCGACACTGCCTTCTGCTGGCCACACCTCGACGTTCTGACAGTAAACCCACGGTCGTGTTGGCTTCTTCAGCAGAGGCAGAGCTACATCACGAACGCTGTCGGCACCGAGCTCCAGAACGTATGGCTGCCATCATACGCGAGAATAGAAACCAGGCGGATCTCGCGCTCCTTCGGCATAACTACGCCGAGCAAATCCTGTTGGTCGACACCCGCCCGTCTGAGTGCTGACCAGGATCAAATTTGCGTAGCTTGCTGGGGCTCGTTAGGTGGTGTAGCTTACGAGTAGACATCGTAGCGGCCAATGTAAATGTAAATAAAACATTTGAAAGCAAATTGGCGGCGGCGCCCACTCACGCCAATTAGGTAGAAGCGGCGTCTTTTTAGTTGTTGAAATGTTAATGGTGGAGTGCACGGGGGGTCGGGTTGCACGCTTTGAAGCGGAATCACGTGGCGGTGGCGGCGGCGGCTCGCTAATGAATGGCACGGCGTGGTGGGGCTGACGTGGTGGGGGCATTCGGTCGCATTTGCAGCGCGGCGCAATATGCACGGCTTAAAATAAAGAGCATTGAATCGGATAACCCGGTGGAGGGCAGCGGCACCGATTGTCATTCACATCGTTCGCTCTTGTTGCATGTTCATGCGACGGACAACCCGAAGGGATGGATCAAGACGGCGGACGGAGCCCGACAAGAAGAAGCGAAACGGGCCAGAGGAGCCGCCAAGGAAGGACGCGTGGATATTCAGAGCCACACGAGAGACGCGTTGACCACACGCGAGTAAACCCGCTCACCCTCCGGTCAATCGATACATTTTTTTTTATTGTTGTGTGGCAAACGTAACGTGGTTTGTTTATTACCCAGCTCTTTTTTTGTTGTCAATCCACTGCTGGATGAGGGCTTCATCACGCGAATCATGGGGTTTCTATTTGACCATACTTCACCATGCTGGTCCGGGTAATAAGGTGAAAAGTATCGGCGTGGGATAATAGAGTAGGGTTTTACTTAACTTGATTACTCTGTTTGTCTGGGTCAAATCTTGTAATCAAAATTTCGTCCGCTTCCCGTTGTCCAATCAATTCCACATTTGGCACACGTACTCAGATCCGGTGACAATGCATGCCTGTATCAAAATCGGCATCAATCAATTCATTCGCTACTTTAAAGCAATTTACATTTTGTATGGACGCCTTATTATTCGTGTCCCAAAACTGTGGAATCGGCTCGCACAAGAAGCAGGCGCCGCGAGTCTCAGGCAACATTGAAGGACTACCTCGACCGTCAGTTAAACGAAGTTGTTAATAAAACCGTTGTTTACAAACAAACAAAAACACCTTTTTTAAAGGAAATTTACTTAATTCAACGGAGCACGTTTTGAGCTTTGCTAGATCTTCACGGCACGATGCGCGACCGAGGGAACTGAGAAGGAGCGGTGGCCGCACTGCGCCTTCTCAGCAATAGAGAGAGAGGAAGGGTTGGAAGTGGGGACGGAGGGGCTCAATCGGCTACTGAACGGCGCGGAGAGTTCGTCTCTCTGAGCTTGCAAACGGCGAGGTTATTGTTTCCTGTTATTTTGGAAATACTCGACCGCGGCACGCCGAGAACTCGTTGCGAAAAACAAGCGTAGAGTAACAACGACGGAGTTTTCTACACTGCCCTCCTCTGCTGTCGACCATCTATAACCTATAACACGTGCATGACGGAATATGAACAAATCACCCAGAAAGTGTCCGAATTAATCAAAACCTCGAAAGCTAAGCAGGTTTGAGCATGAGTAATATATACTTAATCGAGATTAATTGTATACGTTGGCGGTCGGGACCAATATTATGATTCATAATTCATTTTATTGTGGGTTAGGTCCTGTCAAAAAAATGGCCTGACCCAAAATAAACCAAACAACTTAAAGAGGCCAACGTTGAAAATAAACACAGTAAATACATACGCCGACTCGTGCGTGTACTGTACAGGTCGCAAAATTTCCACTCAATGGCACTTTCCATGAATAACTTATTAGCCTATATTTTGAGTGTTTAATTCCACTCAATCTTTATATAGACTTGGTGGCTTTACTCTTTGGTTCTGTCGGTAAAGTCACGTAGGTAGAAAAATAAAACAAAATAAAAATATGCCACGACGTTTCGATCGCAACACAAGCGGTCGTACTCAGGCGGAAAAAAATAATCCAGCAGTGTAGCTGCTGAACCAGCGAGAGAGATGTTACAATTTACGTGACTGTTACAACTTGCTGTTAAAGCTCTCTCGCTGGTTCAGCAGTTCCACTCCTGGATTATTTTTTTCCGCCTGAGGACGACCGCTTGTGTTGCGATCGAAACGTCGTGATATATTTCTATTTTATTTTTCTACCTACGTGACTTCACCGAAAGAACCAAAGAGTATGGATTCCTGCAGTCACGAAAGCTTCAAATCAAGATTAGACTGGTGGCTTTTCAACGGAAGTACACAACAAACTAGAAGAATACGAGCTACGAAGGCCGAATGGGCCCTATGTTGCAGTATTGGAATCGGCTCTGGATAAGTGTATGAAACTGTTTCCACTTATAAACTGTTATGACACGCACGTGGACATATCACTTCAAACCCCATATGGATTTCAGCACAGTACCAAAAAATAACGCTTACACGAACATGATTGTTATGTGCGCTGTAATGTTACAAAGGGTACTGGGTCACACATTGTCAGTTAGGCTTGTCAATCATACATACATTTAGTGCCTTTAGAGAAAACCCCCAACCCTTAGTCGGGGTATCAAATACTATACAGGTAGGGCAGGGGAATTACCAAAGTGCACTCTCTACTGTAAAATACGAGGTAAAAACAACAACATGAGACCACTGTTTTGAATAATACATTTTTATTTTTAGTCAACCACCTGAAACTCAAGACCCTCATGCGGAAGTATTCACAACAACAATTTCTGTACAGCAAAGCGATTCAAAACAAACCACGTGATAATCATGACAACTGCTCGGGGCTCCATAATTCAACAGCAGCCACTAAATAACCAGCAGTCTTGTTCTCTCCACTGCTGGATGAATGCCTACCCACGCAATCGCCACGCAATGCCACAATCTTGCAATCCCAAAAACTATCTCGTTCTCGCGCATGAGCTATTCTCATCACTCCATCTTCTCAGCGGTCGTTCTCTCAGGCATTATCCTTCCACTGGCTGATACTCTGTCACCTGTATTGTCCAAAAAATAAATGACGAAACAATGTATGACCCTTTATCCATCCACTGCTGGGGGTTGACTATACGGTACCACATTGGCAAGGGAGGCTTTGATGGGGGGTTATTTAAGAATGTAGTGGAGGCGTTAACAGACTACAAGGCACAGAAGGAAAGTGTGGCATTATGGTACATTTACAAATTAAGACTGCTCGTAGGGAGACAAGATTAAAAAGTCTTAAGTCCGGATTGCACCGGGACAATTTTATCAGTGGTGTGAATAATATAATCAGTGGGAGGGAGTTGCGGACACAGCAGAGAAAGAGTGACCTGCCAATGAGAGAAGGTTGCCTGGGGGTCTCGATAGAAGTCCCTTGGGTAAGTTTGAGATGAAAGCACATAAGAGGCGAGCAGAGCCATATGATAAAGGAGAGATAGGCAGGTGGGAGTCCAGAAGGACCTTGAAGGGTGACTTTGTCCTTGATTTGGGACGCACATAGGGGGTCTTTGGTACCAGAAAGAGTCATGTATTAATACATTGGAAACGTGTTGTACTTGTGTGCATATGCATCCTAATGTGTGCTGATCTTAATTGAGTGTAATCTGGCTGTGGATATTCAGCTAATATATGCTATTGATGGTTTCTTAGTAACGTGTGTGAATATCTCCCCGCTTATACAGTCTCGAAAGTCTAAAGTAACAATGCAAGAGTCAGACTGATGCCTGTGACCAATTGCTTTTTTCTCTGTCCTCTACAAGACTGAAAGTGGCTTTGGCAGTAGCGCCAGCCCGACAGCAATAAACCTGCAATTCAAGGGACTCTCAACTCCCCCGTCAGCCGCCCCTTGTGCATTAATAATCGCGGCACAGAGCATTGGTCACGGGCGCTTTTGTGCTCAACAGATGTCACGTTCACTAAAACTGTGGCAGCTTCAGCGTCTGGCAGAGTTTGAGATATAGATGTACACCAAAACACCACCGTATAGTTTCCTCATATGGAAAATTACACCGTGCCCTGGCTAAATATCTCAAGCAGACCGCGCTTGAAAACGTCTGGAGAATTCTATACTTTTCTGGGCAAAGTAAAAATTAGACATTGCTGTTTATGCTTCAGCAGTTTAACACAGTGGGCTATGTACGGTGCAAAAGAAGTTAAAAATAAAAATACGTAAATCACCTCACCTATTTCTTATGCTAGACCACGGAGCAATTGTAACCTTGACACCTGACCTCCAAGTTGTGTTCTTACATTATCCCTTCATCTGGCTCGAGGTCTTTATTTTGGTGACTTGACATCTGGGTGCCACTCCATATATATACACACATACTGAATGGGTATATTTTTTGCAATATGGCCTTTCATCTCTCTCACAAATAGTAAAGCACACAACTTTTTAGCTGATGATGGACCAATTCACTCAGACATTACGGTTGTATCTATATAATATGTTCATTATAAAGACTCGTGGATATTTATTCGGGGCTAAGTTGCTGGCAGCAAAGGGCAATGCAGCAACATCCACTGGAATACAGTACTGTACTTTTATGGTTCCACATTAATGCTCCACGCCTTCACCAACCCACATTGGCAAGTATGGTGAAGTAAAGTTAAATAACCCCCATGGTCTGCCCTGTCTGGGAAGGCCCTCATCCAGAAGCAGATTTGGCAAAGGAGCTGTACATCGACATACTGTATTTACTCTGGCAACAGTTTAGGGAAATCCGAGAGCACAATTGTAAAATAAGCACTCCAGATAATGTGGCTCAAGACTGTTTTGCAGTGATGGTGAAAAAATATATACATTTGAATGTAAAAATAGTTGGGGAGGCTGGAGGTGCAAGTAAGGGGGAGGCACTAATGGCAGATACAAAGCGGTGGCTGTTACAGGCTGCTGGTTTTCCAGGCACCGCTGGGATATACACCCATTTACCTTCCGTTGCTTGGGAAGAAAAATGCACAAGCATTCATTCTAAGGGCAAGGGTAAGGAAGCGAATTGGGGGTGCACGTTGGCCAGGGGTAGTTGCAGTTCGCTGGGGGAGTTTTAGAGGGCTTGAGGGCAATTATCTTCTGACTATTGAATACGCGTGGCGCGGTGCTATGGTGTTATGTTTTTAAAGGCCACATCCCGTAATTGAGACGACTCGCAAACTGGACAGTGTATTTGGCTAGACGTGGCAGGCAAAAAAACAAACAAACCTTGAAGTGTTTACTCAGTAAACTGAGTGTGGGTCAGTGCTCATCACATGTTTATGACCTTGAGCCAGTGGTGGAATTACTATAGTGTCTCAGTGTCCATAAAACGACTTGATTTCTGATTAAGTGGTACCTGTTTTATCGTTCCCCCAAGGCATGAATAGCTGAATGAAACCCTCATCAGGATTTAAACTTGCAATGCACAGATTGCGAGTCGTGTGCTCTAAGACTCAGAATCACCCGTTCAACAAAGATGTAGCAAAATTAGTAGTAAAATCTGTCATTGAGTGTTCTGAATGGAAATATGGAATTTGCACAGGGCATGTAATGAGTCACCTACTCAGAGATTTTATGCATTTCCATGACTTGGGGTCATCATTTTAATAAAGAATAAACTCTGTTATCTAATTTTTACGTTCAATTTTATATTGTTCATAGGCCATTGTAGTTTTAATACCTGCCTGCCCACTCAATACAGTATTACATTCACATAGTATTAGTATAAATTCTCACCAATGTAATTTGCTACACGTAGCATAAGCATTCCAAATGCATACTATGTATTTGATTCGACGAATCAACGCATCGTTATGTGTCGAGTGTTTTACCATGTATCCTACCAATCCCCTACAAAAGGCCCTTTACACATTTCCAAGAACGTACCCGTAACCGTTCTTTATTTTGCAAGCAGATTGCGAGTCTCATCAGCGGTCTTGCGTTGCCCCCTATGTCGGGTCGAATGGTACTACTGAATAAACAGGCGCCTAATGCAGTGTGGCAAAGCCAAGATACAGGGTGCGTGCCTGCCCCACAGGCAGCGAGCATCTAAAATGCCGGTCATCAAGCCTCAACGGAGGCCGACATTAACAATTTGAGCATCGGTTCAATCGCCTACATATTTTCCACAGCCACGTAGTTTATAGCATAATTGGGTATACTGGTAAACCTGAAAGAATGGGCCATGGGGAGGTCCGAGGAATTTAGAGATGTTGGCTGTGATGAGTATACAATTTATAGAAAAAAATGCATTTTTCCAGACAGCAAAAAAAATGTTGTTTTGTGTTTCATGGGGTATAATGTAATTATAAGTGTTTTAAATTGCTGGCGATAGACTACATGCCTTAGGACGTACAATTTCCATGGTGTTTCTGAAGCTTGATTAACAGACCCGAATGCTGCTTTCTAGATTGCCCACTAGGTGGCAAACATTAACAATACTGCAGTAAAAATGTGAATTCTGATAGGACAAATAAAGCTACCGTCAATTAAATATATTCAAGATGGCTTTGATAGAGACCAATTCGTTCTGGTGTGATATTTACAAAGGATCTTAAGAAGAAATCTGTTCCATTAGAGCACCATCCAAATTCTGCCTAAGCCCTTGATGTTCACAGAGTGCATTCACAATTTTTTTTAAAGAGCAACAGCTTCCAAACAATACAATGGCAATGCTTTCTACTTAATAGAACGCCCCAAACGAGTTATTAATCAAGACGAATTACTTCTGAATGCAATTCCAGCAGCTCAGCTTGTTATTTTACCAACAGCAAACTGTGACTCAAAGTCTCCGGTGGAGATACTGATGTCTCAAAACAACCTCATTTGCTACTGTTGCATGCTGACCACAAAGGTAAGCCGCAGGGGAACCTGCTGAAAAATAAACACTGCACATCTTAGACTGAACATTTCACGTGCATAGGTCGCTTAAATGCCTCAGCAACTCCGAAGTGCTTTCAATGCCTTGCTGTAGTCTAGCCAAGGGGACCCCCTCGGCAGCAACTGTGAATGCAGCAATGGCCTGCGAGTCCACATCAGCCTGCCGTAAGAGGGGCACGCAGCGTGTGCCATCAAGGTACTCCATCGGCGAGCGTCATCCTGTTCCTGTGTGCTGGCCTAGCATGTTTTCCCAGCGGCCTGGCTCCTTTGGGTGGCGTGGGCACTAACAGCCGGGCTCCAGACATCTCCCGTGCATGCGGCATAGGTGTGAGCGCTGCCCGGGTGCCCATTGTCAGAGGTGCCAGCACCAGAATGCCTCTCGCACACACCAGCGGCCGCCTCCCTCCAGCCAAACCGGCCGACGTGCGAACCTCCAGGGTGTCACCACTCCCCGTTATCTCAGTATCGCATCCATCGGTGTCCTCCTCTTCCCCGTCGTGGCTGCTGGGAGTCACTTGCAAGCGTTGTCCGTCAGAAGGTGCTGGACCTGATGGATTCTGAGATTCGGCGAATTGTCGCTCGGAGGGATTAAATGGAGCCTGGGTTGTGTGTGGACGACGAAGGGGGGTCGCTGGACGTGGCCTACCCGGGTAGAATCCTCCCTGCTGAGTTGCAGGAGACTCATCGTTGTCCGGCGTGAGAGGGGAGGGTGGCGGCAGTCGAACCGTCGCCGCTTTAGGGGCCAACGCTTCACCGGGTGATCTGGCAGAAACGGCGTGAGGAACCCTGTCAACACGGCTGAAGTGAGAAAAATAACATGGAAACAAGAGCCTGAGACAATTTCCCTCTTAGCTATTTACGTGAACGAGGTTATTCATGCAAGCGTGAAGCTGTCCTGACAAAATAGCTACAGTTTAAAGGTACTGTATAATTAATGAAAACCATCTGATTTCTCGTTAACTTGCTGCACCAGCTCGAATAAAGCGGTCTGTATTTAGTAATGTTGCAAAAAATAGCAGTGGACTTCTAATGGTTTCTGTTTACAAATATTATCTCGAACGAGCTTTTTGGTTAATTCACCTTTAAAGGCGAACCATACACTCTGAAAACAGCCCTCAAAGATTATATATGAAAAATATATGACAAAAACAACACTCGCGTCCTGTAAGCGGCCAAAAACTACGCGACTAAATGCAGAACTAAAAGTGAAACGTAAAAAAAACGTCCATTTGCATCCGCATACCTGCGGTCATGGATTTTCCCTAAAATCACCAGGAAGAACAATGTCACGTGCCTGAGTGTGCGCGTCGTGAGCGCGGGTGCCGACGGCCTCTCTTCGGCTGACGTGACCCGCAGATCACTCTCCAGGACCTTGCGTTGCTCCTTGAGCTCTGTTCCATGTAGCACGGAAGCAGTGTTACAGACGCCAGGAGGCGGGTGTGAAAACAATCGTCATGGGACGTGACGCTCTGAGTATAGGCCATTTTAAAGTATCGCACCGAATTAGGTTAAATTTGAAAGCAATAGCTATTTTCATATTGTACTACCGACCTGGGGGAAGGGGCGTGATTTTTTACCGTATACCGACTTTGCGTCAACATTCCACGGGAGGTGATTTACTTTGTTCACCGACGATTGGGGGTTTTATATTTGTAAGTGTTAAGCGGCATAATTACAACACTAAAACGTTAGGCCAATTGTGCCCTATCAGTGAAAACAATCAACCTCCATGTCACAATTTCTTGTGGGCTCAAATTTCAAAATGTTATTTTTCGTATGTGTCGAGTTGTAAGCATAGACTTGCCTATATTTGTAACAAGTTTCAGCGTTCTAGCATTCCTAAGAATCGACACGTGTCAATCACAATCATAACTGTCACCAATACATCATATTACCATCTAATATGATGTCATTAATGCTTTTTTGTGTGACTGTAAAACCAAGTCTGATGTTTATGTGGAATGTGAATAAACTGTGGCCTGTGCCCGCGTAGAGATGAAGGTCTTTTGTGTCCCTTGAAAATAAAATAGATTAAGAAGGGACAAAATGATTGTACAGTAAAATTCGGCACTCATGGACTTCACACATATGCACGCACATGCGCACACGTGTAAAAAATACGAGTATATTCATATCGACATGCCTACGCACGTACAAAAAGACACCACATGGTGTAGCTCAAGCTGTTTCCCATCTGGACCTTTCTGCTCACGGTCACAGTCAAGCTGTCTCAACTGACAATAGCAAAGCGGTCGTGGGTGAACTTTAGGATTCCTGGGAAACCAAAATGTCATCGTTTCGTGTAAATTGAGTAAAACACCGCATTAGCAGTGTTGCACACGAATGTGTTTGCACGAGAAAGGCATGTTTCAACAAAACATACTTATTCTTGCTTGGGTTTCTAAAGGCCGACAGGAGGACCAATAAACTGTACATTACGTGTAGTGCTTGTGAAGCTCACCAACACTACTTCAGTACAGCACAATAAGTGCTGCTCATTTAACACTGCCATGTTCTCCCATGGGCTGTTAAAATTCCTGGTGTCAGGACATTTCAGTCCAAGCCCTCCCACCATGACCCCACACAAACATCATGTCATCCTTTTGCCTGGCTGGTGTGTGCAAGTAATTCTTGAGCTGTGGAATCATGAGGCAGATTTTTTTTAAGTCAAGTGGCTTGCAAATTGGTTCCAGAAGACTGGGAGGGTGATGTTCATTCCTTCTTTGTAGAACAAATATTCATCTTGGTGTAGCTCATAATATTTGAACGACTTATCTCTCCTGTTATCGTAGCACAGGTTATGCAAAATGAAAAAAACAACCAGTTATTTATTTTACTTTGCTATTTATACAAATGTAGGAACAGAGGCGTGGTAGATAGCGCACTTCACTATGAATGTGGCAACCTGAGTTCAATTCCAGCCACGGCTAACATCAGTGGCGAGTGATATTTGATCTGGTACTGGCTGCGTCTTTCACCAATACATTGACCAACGTGGTTAATCATGATCCAAAAATCCCAATGACTGATGCATCATGGTACAGCCTTTGTCCAGCAGTGGATTGACAAAGGGCTGTAAATTAAAATAATTATTATCCAAGCCGAGTTTGAAATGGACATTTTAAATATCCTGGGCTGGCTCTGTAATATAATTCCATAATTCATTCGCAATGTCTTCAAATTTTCAAGGTTGAAGCTACGAGTTTTCCTGATGTGCTCATGCCATAGCCCAAGTTTTAAGCTCCAAATTTGGTCCATGTGGCCCCTGGTTTTAAAATTTCACTAAACTCACAGTGTTTTGGCATGGGATGAATAGAAAATGTCTTGGAACAATGATTCGTGCTTATGAGTGCTGGAACGCACCACAGAAGTTCTCGAAACCTCTCTATAAGGTGCCGAAAGTTAACACCAGATATTAATTGAACTTCCTTTCGCATCGTACATAGGCAACTGTGCTAATTAGAGCATTATCATTTATCCCTGATACTGCACAAACAGACTTGGAAGAAATGCTGTGAATATATCTCAGTCGAAATCCAGGCTTCTACAATAAACTTGCAAACTCTGTTCGTAAAGTTTGAGTGCAATTATTTCCTATTATTATTATTAACCTCGTTTGGTTTAATCTGCAATCCGTTTGTTAAAGTATTCAATTCTCATTTGTCAATACTTGATTGGATATGCTTGATGTTTAGCATGCTTTTGAAATGTGCTGGACTCTTTTGCATACTTATATTTTTCTCAGTCATCCTTAGTTGCGTGTATCAGGCCTGTAGTGAAATGTGTTGCTGTCAAGAGTCGACGTCTCAGTGGGTTCCTACCGGGTTACATGACAGTAATAATAGGGGGGTTTTCCCCTTTTTTCTGGCAACAAAACTGAAACCTTTTTTTACGAGGATTCATGTCTGCATTAACCACAATACTTGCAGTCAAAATGCAAACAAAAAAACAATACTTGCAGTCAAAATGCAAACAAAAAACACACTCTGATAATATATGCATTGTCCTTGAAACTGATTGGTCCACACCAGAGACAGCTTTCTTTAGAGCCTAATCTCAATTGATGCTAGACCAGATGACGGCAAAAGGGGAAAAACCCTGTTATTATATTTTGGTACTGGCAAAGGAGGTCCAATAATGATGGGTTACATGAGGTTTATGATGCTGATGATAATGACTACAAAGGCTTTAAAGAGGCTGTCCCAACATAAACATACTTGACAGTACATAATTCAGTACAAAGCTGGAAATTAGGTACTCTCGCGATAAGTAAATGCTGTAAATACGATTTTAAATCAATTAGCATTTCGAGGTTTAATATTTTACGAGGCGCTTTTGTTCGTGATCATGAATTAAAACAACCACACAACCGGGCTGCAATACTAAAGAGGAATTAGTCATCCAGCGAGAAATCCTCCCCCAAACGCCTTCCCACTGTGATTTGATTAATTATCACGAGCCAGGGCTCGCGATTATACTCAATAATCAATTGATTTTGTTTTGTATTTACCATTGTATTATTCCCCCCCCCCCGTCCCAGTCTTATTCAAAGAGTTGTGTTTGCACCATCAGCCTATATGTAACATGAATATATAATTTGTACGTGACATTGTAATCAATTGCTACGCATAATAATTCGATGCATGTATTGCCAACATTAAGAATCCATCAGAATCGATTAATCAATGCATTGTTACATGCCTAATATATATGCTACGCGACTTAAGTAAAAGGGTAAGGCATGAGTCTAAAATAAAGCAATGTAAACGGTGCGCAGATGGTTTACTTGAGGCAGTCACGCAGGCAGATCCCACTGCCTGTTGTGCACGCAGACATTTCAAGTTATACTGTGTACACTCACCACGCAGCCGCGCGATTAAATGTAGCTTGCCACTTTTAAGCAGGACTGCTGGCAAGAAAGGAATCCATCCTCGTGACAAGCAGGGCCATTCTATATCCAGTGGCATGAACAAGAATTTTGATAGAGCAAAATAACTGCAGACAGCTGTTTGGGCAGATAGCTGCACAATGATATCCCGATTTTTTTTTAGAAGGAAAGTTAGTGCCGATGTACATACTGTCTCCACCACTGGCTGAAAAGTTTTCACAACTGAAATGCCAAATGCATTCAATAATACTTTTTCCCAGTCATTTTCTTTAATGAATGCTACCGCAGAAACAACAAGACAAATTGCCCAAACACGTGTTGGCTTTCAAGTTAGCGTCCATATTTTTTTAATCCACGAGTTGTAAAAATTAAAAAAGTTATATACTGTGGACGTTTACTATCCATCTTACAGACGCCAGAATGTCTACCACACAAAGTAAGTTTTTTTTTTCTTTCATGGTGCAGTGCTATACTTAAGGGATTCTGAGTGAATTATCAGCATGCTCCAAGCGCCATGGCACACGACAATACAGGCTCTGATATACTGCCATGGCAACTGCCACAGACTCGGCTTTGTGCCTATGCACTCTGTGCTGTATAAAATCCGTGGAAGTGCCACGACACTACATATAAATGAAGACCACTAACAACACTGCATATCTCTCACTGCGAACAAGTAAAATAAAACCTCGTAACTCGTTTAATTTTTCAGAATTTCTCCTCCCAGAACTCGGTAAGTAGATGAAGGCAAATATTGCAAGACGCAGATGGCTAATTGATAGCTGACAAAAACAACAGTTTATAGTTATCATCACCAAGATACGCAGCGATATTTTTAAAATCAGAAAGTAGCAAAATTTAACTAACGTTTGCAGCATGAAAGCCTTTTTAATCATGCGTTTGTCCCAAGCCCAAAGAGCAGAGTAAATGAACAAAGCTTCTGTTGAAAGACGTATGCGTCCTGCAGTGGACTTCTGCTCAAGTGGCAGTGATTCAGACCTGTGATGGAAGGCTCATTCCTAGGCAATGCCGGTCCCCTGCGCCCCTCCGCCAAGTGTTCCTGAGGTTGCGGAGAGACAAAGACAGGAGGGGAAAAGGACGGAGGGGGGTAGTGGGATGGAGTGGACCTTCTTTAGCTGCCAAATAGCACCAGTGAGACAACATGACCCACTTTCCCAAAGCCTGCCTCCTTGTTCCTGGGCCCCCAAAACTGCACACATCTCATGCACTCAGCGTTGTTCCCCATCTGGGTGGGTGTTTGCATATTTATTGAAAATCCCACAGTCTACATTCGAGTCCAACTACAATGGCAAAAAAGCAACAACAAAAACAGACGTTCGCTCTGGTTTTAATGGGTTTTAAGCTCGCTTGAACGCACTGCTGTGGCGACAACCATGACACACAGAGCTGTGTTGTTCATGAGTAGTGAGTGCCACTTTTTTTTGCTATAGTCACAATGAGAGTGAAGACACTGTCCATCAACGCCAACTTGTCTGATTTGATTCAGGTCTTTGTAAAGAGATTCAAAGGCAGTTAAACAAAACGCTTCAAAGCGACGACAGAATGGTTTAGCATACTGTGAATAATGACACTCTTATATGGTCCCACTTAACAAAGTAATACATCAGCAAATAGACTTTTCTTCATTTGTTGGGGTTAAGCAAGGTTGACAAGCTTGGGCTTAAGTGATTGGGAAAAAGCCGCGATGCATTAGATTTTCTGTACCTGTAAACTTTGAATGTCTTTCTCCAAAGTACTGCATTCTTCGTTAAGCAAACTCCTGCAAACATCATTAAGTCAGAACAGATGAACTCCTATGAGAATAATATACCTTTACCATTCTTATTAAATTATATGTATGAAGCGAATGGGTCCACAGCTCCATATAACCTAAATAATTAAGCATACCATGACCCTATTTGGAGTGGTGGTCTGTACTCATTCTGTAGGCAAAAACACAAGGTGGCATAATTACTCATGAGCCATTTCCTTCCCTTGGACAAGTGACCTCAATTCAATTTCAGGTCGTGACACGAGTGAGGATTTCCCTAGGTTCTGTCTGCCTAAAATTACGCTGAAAGTGCAGGAAGGCATAACAGCACTTGAGCAAAGAACTGCAGACCAAGGAAAAAAACATTCTGTACCTATGCACCGAATGCCCCATGTGAACCTCCAACACTGTATAATACATTGGCATCCTTCATCTGACATCAATAATTTAGTAATGTCATGTGTGATGAAATATATGATACGATTAGTGTCGTGTAAACATTTTACGTTGGTTTAAGAAATAATACAAGGCATTTCCACCTCATCACTGCCAATTTACCATTCGTAAACTATTGAAAAATTCTGACACGCAATCTTCGAAATGTTGACACTTGCAAAAGACCGTTCAAAACCAATTTCAAATAATATTTGTGCAACTGCAAGATTGTTTAATTTTTTGATGGTCATTGTCAAAGTCTGCATTTGGGGAAAAAAATGGAAAATCCAGCGCAACAATTGGCAATTCATTTTATTTCCTCAGTTGCTGCCAAATGAAAACACTTTTTTTTCATTTGCTGGTTCATTCTTTAGAAGTGCTCATGTTGCCAGCTGGCTTTTCACTGACACTGCAGATTCTGTCAGTTGTGTAACAATGTACATCTTTGTCGGCTGCCAAAGTCATAGGTTGGGATTTAATTACGCTTCAATATGTACCACACTGTACTAAAAGGTTTCCAAATGTTGTGCAGAGCTTCTGGACTCATTTTTCACATCCCTTATGCACTCCAAAAAATACTTTTTTTTTAATTGGGACAAAATAAAAAACGGCAACATTCCACAAAGTCAGCATCATTTCCAGATTAAATTGCACATGCATTTTACAGTTACCATCTAAAGCATTGGCCAACAGGCAAGTGTGGGATGGTTAGTTCTGCTAAAAGTCAATTGCAATAATGGGGTGTTAGGTTTCTGAATGTTTTACTGATATATTTACTTTCTCCAAAAAGCTGTTGTACACCAATCCAGATGTAAAAATTACCTTCTTTATATTTGCTAAATTGGTGAAAAGTGCAATACGTGATTTCTCAGAGATCAAAGATAATTCAGCTGGCACTCCTGAGATTCTGGGCTCAAATCCAGGTAGCCACCCATGATTAAACTATGTTCGCAAGTGTAGATTCAGGCTGGTTATCAAGGAGTGCTTAAAAATCACGAGAAACTTGTTTTTCACTTAATTGGGCTGAATTCCATCTCTGAGAATTAAAAATATAACTTTGACTGCCCTGTGACAAAACATTTGATTTGTGTACTGTAGGTCGTGTGAGATATTGCAATTGAAAAGGTCGTGAAATGGATTATCACACTTCACTATGAACCTGGAGACCTGAGTTTGATTCCTGGCCATGGCTAACATTCGGGTGAGTGATATCTAAACCAATACTGGCTCCCCCTTCTTCGCAAACCTGCACAGACCAGCACGGCAAAGTACACTTAAACAAACCTCCATGACCAACACTGCCTAAGAAGGCCTTCATCCAGTAGTAGATTGACAAAAGGCTATACACATTATTCAATTAATATTATTACTTCACATGCCACGATGCCAAGAGTACAAATGTAATGAAAATGTGGGAAGAAGCAAAGAAGTGCATTACTTATTAAACACAGCACATTGTTGTAATTGCTGCAAGGACTTACTCCAGGAGGTTGTCAAGTTGCATGCCTAATAACTTTATTGAAATGTCATTTTAATACACCTTAATCAGAAAACACATTTGTGGATACTCACAAAGGTATATTTATGTAATGACCTAAAATGCCCTGCGCCTTGAGTAAATGGTAAAACCTGTTTCATATTACTCATGTTTATATTACCACTAACCCATTATCACAAAAAACCCTCGCTCATATGTAGCAATTTAACATCATTAGTTCTACACTATTCAACACCAACTCGGCCTATACTTTTGTATTTCAGAGAATATTGCACCATGAAAAGCGAATACAACTTAATTTGTAAATCGTCTTCAAAAAGTTGCTTAGAACGTGTTTTCACGTTGAGTATTTTTAATCCGTCTTGACTGTGCACTGTCATTGCAGGCCAGTCAAAATAACACGCAACCCTCTGCACACCCACAGGGCTATAGATAACAATTAGTCACATCACATTAGGCTGTATATCTCAGTGACAAATAAATGACGTGAATCAAATCGCCCCCCCGTGCACATGTGGACATGTTTGGGCTGGAGCCGTGCAGTCGATGTGTTTCTGTCCTGCGGCCAGAAAAAAAGTCACTTGAGATAGCAGTTTGTGGTAAAGCGGAGCCATGCGGGGTGAACTGAATGTGCAGCACATGGTATTCACTCACAGCTCGCAGGCACAGCTTTACCCTTGATCCTGTTACCGCCTTACACTACTCTCTATACCCCTGCTCTATAACTGCTCAGTGTGCGTGCAATGTTCCACCTTAAAACGCTGCCCTAGAGCAAAAGCAAAAAAAAATACTTTTAAGGAACCTGCCAAATAAGATTCACGAAGGGCAGCTAACAAGGCCTTAAAGTGTAATTAAAAAAGAAAACAGATTTGAAATGATTACCCACTTTACTTGCGTTCATCCTTTGGTATAATATTGCCTCTTATGAATATATAGCTTATTTTATACTGCTGATGTTGAATTTATTAGAGTCAACAATGTAACATCGTGAAAATAGCTTATGAATATATATTTTCATTTACAATGGCCATAAATGTGCATTAAAATGGCCGTGTGAATCTTAAGGGAGTGTTAAAATGAGGGCATTACATTTTCATGACAAATGTTGACTCACTTTCCAAATTGGTACGGCAAAGTCAAAACAAAGAAAAAGATAGTAACTATTTGATGAGAAAACATTGTTCGTGTTTGAAGTAATTGTGCATAACATGTTAGGAAGCAGCCCATGTTGTGCCTGCCACAATTTAGATTTTGACAGCAAAAACAAAAGGCAATTTTGCAATAATTTTCAGTCATTAATTGGATTTGTATCGGATTGAGATATTAGCATTTTTACTTATTTAATGAGAAATGGCTTTGCGGTCATCTGGTGTTTTCTGCTGATCGTGCATCATTTTATCCTCAGCATTTTTTAATTATCACCAGGGTGGAAATGCACCCGTTTGTGGTCTAATATCTGACGAAACCCTGCAAATGATTTACTGAATTCACAAAAGAACATGTGCAAGTACATTTGCCGAGAACTTGCTGCAACTTCTGTGCCACTTATACCCTTCTGCGCATGTGCGTGCATGCATGTGTGATGCGCGCATGCATACGTGTGCGGGACCACAGTGGTTAGCACTTTGTGCTACAAAACTCTGCAACTTGGGTTCGATTCCTGGCAACGGCGAACATCAGTGGTGAGTGATATCTGAATGAGTCCTAGGTGCCCCTCCACCCCTCTTTCATCCACACTGACTATTGTTGAACAATCCTGAACATCCTCTCGGTTGACTCAGCCTTAAATGAGTTCCTTGTGTGATGTGTGATTACCACTGATGGGGAGACAAAGGCTGGTGCTGGCAACAGGACCACTCATCCACGATGACGAACTTTGATGGGTGCTTGTTAAAAGCACGTAGCCTAAGAGTCTATGTACATTACATGGGGGAATCTTGGCTTTGTTATTGCTGCTGCTGCTGCTGCATGTGCTGTGCATATGTGTGTGTGTCTATGCCTCACCGAAGATGTTCGATCACCTCATCAATGCGGCTCACATTGAGTTTCTCCTTCAGAGCCTCAACTTCGTCTGGCAGGTTTGAAGACATCGACAGACTCGACAAGGGCCTGTTGGATAATCCCAAATTAGTGGCCAACATATTTACAGAAATGTCCATTGATATAAAGTACCGACACTGGTCCAAAATTGTGCTATCAGTGACATGTCATGGAAGAATCCCACTATCTCTACCAGAGCAGTACATCACTCTGTATTAGCCAATGGTTCATGGTAGCACATTACAGAGCTACTGATATCCCTTCAATTGACCACTTTAACCATATACTCTACTGTAGAGAAATGTTATGTGCATATACAGTACTGGCTATGAATTAAGATACATTTTTCAGAACAGTTTAATAGACATTATACAAAAGTTTGCTTTTTTTTACAGCCTGTCCTGCAAGCGCCACAATATTTTGTTTATTGATCAAAGCACAAGAGGCTTAAAATAATGAAGTACTAAGAGGCCATAATTTTGTCCTCTATGTACCTGAGTTCTTGTGGCACTGGTGCTGTGTGTGGCCTGATAATCCCCCACTTGGGATGAATGGGGTCCTTCAGGATTCCGCCAGTGGATGGGTGCCTAAGCTTCTGCCTGCCGGCAGAGCCGCCTCCTGAATCTTTGCAGGACCCAAGAGCCTGTGAGGCCACAGGAAGGCTGGGCGACTGTGTGTCCATTGCAAATTCCACCACTTCTTGACTGTACCGCGACATCACTTCCGTTTCATCCCTGCAATAGGAACAACTCTTAGCGATTAATGCACATCAAGGATTTAAATTTAACTTGATACCTCTCGCTGCTGTAATTACATTAAAAAAAAATAAGATACTCGCTTTCGTGGCATACGGGTCTAAAGTTGTATTTTCATTTTTTTTTTAATAGACGTATATCACCAATGCAGTGGTTGACTTTTAACCATGAATGTCAGCCCATGCCTCCATCAATTCATAGCCATATATATGTAGAAGTCACACTTGACAGCCTATCACCACCACTAATTGCAAATAAATATTATCTCCACCCTTGGAACCGCATACAGGGGACAGTGAGTGAGAAGGGGTCCAATGCCCAGGCTGCAGATTTTGACAAGACTCCATGTAACAAGTGAGATAATTAGATTCTAAAAGGGTATCTGGATGAGTAATAGAATCAATGTCAGCCCTGCAGCTGACTATAAAGGGCATTTACTGCAGTGATGTGGAATGTAAGCATACGGTAAAGACATTTTGTGCGCCAAAGCAACTTACAGCACCCATTAATATTGGTGGTGGTACACTATGAGCAACAGCAGTGCTGCTTAAGTCACTAGATACCATCTGTTTTTATGTTTGTATGCCTGGTTGTAAATCATTAGGCAGCTATGTTTGTCCTTATTTTAGTGTTTTTTTTCCTTATCTCTTGCAGCATAAGGCCTGCCATCCCTGCCATCGAATCGTATAGAAACGGTACATGTTGAGGGAGATAAATGGCAGAGAAGTCTTTGAAATAAAATTACAACACAAAAGCAGATTGTTGTTGGTAATTGGGACTATGATGGCATCCATGTAAAAAAATTGCCAGTAAGCAATCTAAATTCTTTCCATGTGCCCAGTTGCACATGGCATATTTTGTACAATTGCCACAAAAATCAAGTACTGTATTTACAAAGTTTGGATAATTTACCTTCTCAGTAAAATTCCAGTTCTGATTGTAAACATGCACGATGAGTACCATAGAGAATTATATTGTTTAAACGGCAAAAGCCTGTGAAATATTCTTTGCATTATTGAGTATGGCAATACATTCAGGAGCTAAATGTCAATGTCGAGGTATGCCAGCCATGAGAGAGGGCTTCAGGAGAGAGTTGGCGTAGTTTTGCTTTTCCTGAAGGAGCGACGACAGTGGTTTACGACATGGTCTATAGTGTGGGTTGCATGGCCATAGTCGTACTGTGGCTTGCCTTGAATTTCCATTCATGAAAGAGATGTGCGCATCAGTCTGTGATGTTCCGATACAGTTAATGGTCACACCGGTGTCTTCGAGGAATGTCTAAGCCAGGAGGTGCGATGTTTATCCTGGACCCTGAGGATTGTAGTGAGTGGACAAGACTGTGCAATGAGTGCCCTCATCCAGCCAAATGTGTATGTGTCCTATCAGGGGCGGAGCCAGGATTTCAGGCCGGGGTGACATTCAACAAATGTTAATTTCAAGAATGATTAGAGAGTCAGGCTGTTGAACTAGACGCCATCGGTTGGCGACACACTCTGACAATGCAGTTGCACGGAGTGCGCCAGACCGAGTGTCGTACACTTATGCGCAGAATGTCACCCCTGTCACCCCCCCTGGCTCCGCCCCTGTGTGCTATGATCAAAGGTATAAAAAAGCCATAGATTCTTGCGTGATCAAAATCACCGGTCTTTAAAATCTAGGCATTCACTTCTATGTATTTCACATTTTTCCAAGATACAAGGCCAATTTTGTTCTGGTCGCGGTAAATATGTGCACACTATTACAGGAATTATATTCTGAATGTTCAATAAAAAAAAGACTGAACCCTTTTGAAATAACAATTTCTGAAAAAAACATCCCCTACAGTCTATTTATGAAAGGGTGGTGACATTAAAGTAGATTTCTGGTAAATTCAGAACATTTTTCCTGTTCATCGTATTAAAAAGGTCATTTTTAAATGTCAACCCGGAGTTAGAAAGATCCAGCTCCAAAATCGATCACACTCTTTCCACTGAAACCTCCAAACACACACCAGGTGGACTGGGGCAGTAAACACAAGTGCCAGGTTAAATGCCAGCCAAGTTTGCCTGCAGTAAATGCATGCCAACTTTAACATCTGTCATAAAACGAATGCCAAGAGTGCCTGCCCCGTTAACTCGCCATTCCTTAACCTAGCCCAACGTGTCACTTGGAGACCACCTCCTGCCCAGCACCTCTGTTGGGACCCCTTGTAGGCAAGGGAACCCCCGATGGCTGCTCATTTCCCTGGCCCCAGGGAATGGCTCTAGTTACACAACTGTTGGCAGTTCCATATTGTAGAAAGCTATAGCCCTGGGGTAACAAGGAAAGGGTAGTGAGCGGTCGCAGGTCTGGCTGACCAACTTCCAAAAAACAGCCGGTGTGTGTATGTGGAGGCCACAGTGGCAGGAGGATAGCTTTTCAAAGGAATGCAAAATAATCCCTAAACCTTTGCTGTCAGAACAGAATGTTGTTTTATTATCCACACTTGGCCAATAAACCACATGAACCACAAATGTGTTCAAGCTATGGAAGAGGATGATCCCATGTATCTCACATTAAAACTTTTTTTTTTAAAGAGGCTGTATTTTGCCAACCGCCACTCGTCCAAGGCTGCTTGCTACCGCTTGTTTTCTCTCTCAGTTGATTGAAAACAGTTCTATAAAAAGTACACCGGCACACCCAGAAAAACCATCCAGGGGAGGGATGAGGGATTTGAGGAACGTGGGGGACCAAAGGGGGTTACAGCCAGCGCGTGCAACCTCTAGTCACAATAACAGTCGATCTACTAATGCATGCTTCTGTTACGCAATTGTCTCGCAAACACATGGTATACTTTGAATGAGCACAAAAACAACTGTGCTATAATATTTACCTACCATATGTATTCTACCACTGAATACAGATTGCGCTTACTACTTATTGATAGAAGGTAAAACAAGATTGAATGCAGTTGAGAAGTGGTGTGACAGGAGGATGGAGTGTGAGCCGGTGTGATAAGAATAAGAATGAGGCGTTGAGAGAACAGCTACCAGGAGGAATTTCTTTGGAAGTCTAACATTAACATAATATACGTGCGGCATATTATGAAGATAGTCAGCAGGAGCATTATGACGCTGATTCTGAAAGGGAGAATGGAAAGGTAATCAAGGTATATTAAGAGGAAGGATAATTATGAATTGGTGTTAAAATGTGAGCAGCTGTATGGGAATTTCCAGGAATGAAGCTGAATATTCCCATGATTTATGAGGTTGACACAAGATAGATAAATAATGTAGATATCTTGACTTAAAGCTTTCGTGACTGCAGGAATTCATATTCTTTTGGTCTTTCGGTAAAGTCACGTTGATAGGTTCAAATTAATAAAAAATAAAATAAACAAAAAACTACAACGTTGCGATTGAAACGTTGTAGTTTTTTTTTGGTTTATTTTATTTTTATTAATTTGAACCTATCTACGTGACTTTATCGAAAGATCCAAATAAAAAATGTAGATATGTGTATAAGTGGGAGATTGAGGTATCTCATTATGTATGCCTATATAACCATAATATGCAAATAATACAAAAAAAGAATCAACAATTATTTGTCAAATCAATGTCCAATGAATGCCTCCGTGCCACGTCGGTTGCGGAGTTTGGTTAGTCTGGAGGTCGGGGGAAGGGGTTCAAGGACAAGTTCAGATGATCACTCGACACTGATGTTGGCCATGGCCAGAGATCAGCAACCAAAATAACAAAAGAAAAGCCATTTTTTCAAATTTGGTAAAAAAAAAAATAAAGGCTCAATATTTGTCTGTCTCTGCACCCATTTCAAGAGCCGCAGTGCATCTGAATACGAGACGGTGGTCCTTCATAATCATCGTCACAAAGCAGTCCTTAAAGAGCCGCGTGCACCTCTGGAGTCGCAGGTTTCCAACCCCTGGCCATGACCGTCAACTGAACTCAAACCCCCAGATTTATGGTGCAGTGTGCTAACCACTGTACCACCGTTGCAGCCTCCATCCACATTTTTCATGGAAACCATACATATAATATTACTTTAAGAGGAGGTAAGCCTTTTCAGACTGGCTTTTGTAAATACATTCCTTTAAGGTGAAGTAAAACAAATAATAACTTTAGAACAGATACTTTTTTGGGGAGATGAATCTTTGTTTAGAGTGCATCAAACATGATACAAATAAGTATTTTAATAGTCTATGTATCTATTATGCATTTAGACATTCATATTTTATTTTGAATTAAAAGAAACATGTTGGAATACAGCACAATAGGAGTTTTGCAAAAACCACAGTGCCTACTTTCGTATACTTGTAGCTTCTCAATGGGTTAATTCTACACAGCAGCAGAACCATGATTTATTCCACGAATGCTGGCATAAGGAAGGATGCACGGTTTGTTTTTCTCCATTGCAGCAACAACTTTGGAATTCCTAAACATCCATCGCTCCCAGTTTATCTTAACTTGGGTTTTGTGCTGTCCCCACCAATCACTTTCCACCCCCGCTCATGGCCCCCTCTTTCGGAGTGGTACAACCCATCGATTCCTGTCAAGCCTTGCTCCAGACACACGGACTGGCTGGGCTCGCTGTAGCCGGAAGGCGAGCGTCTGCATACCGTCCATGCTGGCGTGCCTTCTCTCGCAGGCCAAGCAGCAGCAGCCGAATCTCCTGCCGCAGCATGGCCTTCACAGCTGGCGGGTCGGCCAGCGGGCGAGGTCGGGATTGCTGAACAACGGTGTCCTGGATCGCTCCGTTCTCAGAGCATACTTCCCTCCAAATCTCCAACAAGCACTGCATCTGCGTGATGGCAAAGGGAAGGATTAATGCGCCCACGCCCGCCTGCTTCTTTAAACTCTAACATTGCAGCGTGATGACAGCCGTTTTGTCAATCCAGTGCTGGATGAAGGCCTGTGCCGGTTGTTGGGGGTCATTTGACCGTACTTCACCAGTAGTCAGTACGGGTTGGTAACAGCAATCAGTTTTTCGGAGGAGCATATAAGTACCATACAATACATCTTTACTGAAAGCTTTCGTGACTGCAGGAATACATATTCTATGGGTCTTTCGGTAAAGCCATGAAGAAAGAAAAAATATTAAAATATCACGTTTCCGAAAGACCCATAGAATACCATACAATAATGTATTGTGCTGCACTAGCCTCTGCCAACTACCACGCACTTATGTACCTAAGGTGTCTTTGCCACTTAGGGAGGACTAATATTATAGATTCAAACAATTGGGCCAGCTTTTCACGTTTACCCACATATTCATTCACATGTAAAGTAGGTAAAGTGAATTGCAAGAATTGTCTTGATCGGTAGGCGTGGAAGATTGGACCATCGTGAGGACGTTAAAAGAACTGGACGTTTTCGAGCATGTTTATTCAACCATTACTTTGGATATACACTTTGCATGAGTCATACATTCTACTGCACATTCAACATTGAATTAATAATACACAAAACAAAGCTCCACAACATTGTACATATGAAACGTTAGTGTTAACTGCCGAAGTTGCTTGCAGGCCAATTAAGGTCAGTGGTCCTCTTGTACCTCGGATAAGCATCGTTGGCGACGTACGGTGTGAAATAAATTCAACAAACATACTCTAAGTTGTATAAGAGGCATGATTTTTAAGGGTACAGAAAATAAAATTGCCTTTCTTAACATCATTTCAGTGAGACAGCCAGAAAATCCAGCAGCAATCTTTGGTTGCAGGAACCTGCTGGCCGTCGCCATTCATTATTACCGTGCAGATTAGAAACTGCTATAAGCTCACTCAGGAAACAACAGTGCAAACTATAATATTGAATTCAATTGTGTGGAAGGCTGTGCCCTGTATTCACTATTGTTACGATTTATGTCAAGTGAAAATAAAATAAAGAGTCTTGATTGAAAGCTTTCGTGACTGCAGTAATTCATATTCTTAGCTCTTTCGGTAAAGTCACGTTGAAGGGAAACAATAAAATAATAAAATATATATAAAACAATAACAATTCTCACGACCGACACACCTGATGACGACCGTTTGTGTTATGGTCGAAACGTCGTGAGAATTTTTATTGTTTTATATATTTCATTATTTTATTGTTTCCCTTCAACGTGACTTTACCGAAAGAGCTAAGAATATAAAAATAAAGAGTCTTGAGTGGAAAATGTGAGTGAAAAACAAACGTCCCTCTGTGGCTCAGATTTGTGTATTAAATCTTGCATATGGCTGGAAGTACAATTGAAATAGGCCATGATAAAGAATATCCATGTGTTTCTTCGAATGCTATTTAATACCATCCATCAATGCCTATACAAGGTTAACTAAAAAAATCAGATGAGAGTAATTTCGAACGCAACTGGTGATGGCGGAGGATACACTGCAGTGGCAGCTTTAATATCTGTGATGAAACCCCTTCCTGTGTATCTGAGGATTTGTGAAAACTCAAGAATTTGAGGATTTTAAGCCAAAGAGCTTGGGGGAAATACCAATCCAGATCGCACTCGAATTGTTCACCATCTGAAACCAATGTCTGTGACAAAACCTCATCCATCTGCCATGAGCTCCGACACTAACTGGTCAACATTCACTAAAATTACCCCAAAAAAACAGTCCTCTGGAGTAAACTAAAGAAAAAAAAAACATAATGGCCACCAAAAAAAACGAACGTGCACATGCTGATACCGCAGTGCAGCATTGCGAAGTTCAGATCATGCTTGAGGGAGGTTATTCATTTCTGTGGCTATAGCTAGTGGAAAGGTTTGAAACAAAAACGTGTTTTGGAAAGGCTGTGGAGGATTAAAGGCGATAAAACAGTCTGAAGTTGGCATTTTCTCAACTAAAAGAAATATGTAAAGTTTACGATTATTAAGGTTTGCTTGATGTTGAAAACACACTTAATAGCACTTGGGCAACTCCCTATTTATTGATGTTATTTTTGGACAAATACACAGAAAGTAAAGGCTTATTTTCCAAAACTCTACTTTGTGGCTCAGAATTTTGGAAACATGTTGGAAAGTGTCCAGTATTTAACTTACAGCAATCAGACAACTGCAGCCATTTAAAAGTGCACAGTTAAGGGCCAACAAAAAGCTTTGCTTTAAAAAAAAAAACAAAAAATGCCATTTCTGAGAAATTCTGGAGTAAAGAAGAAAAGAAAAATAAATTTTGCTGAAGCATTTTCACACAAATGATGAAATTCATAAAAATGTATTTTACTGCATCACTGCGATGGGTTTGTGTATAAAAGATTTATTGTACCATGAAATGCATTTTTTAAAAATCCATTTCAAATTTAACGAATCTTATAAATTACTGATTAGAGCTTAAATTTGTAAACCAAACCGCAAATGTATGTGTTTGCATGGGGCCTATTACACAAAACCACAGGGTGAATTTTTGGACTGTGAAACCTTCAACTTTCTAGCTATAATTTAAGTGAAAGAAGAAATTGGACTAAGGGAGTGGTATCATTTCAAGTTGCCTGACAGACTGACGACAGATACATCTAAAGGGGGTGGGTGGGGGGCAAAAATAAATAAGAAAATACTGTAATAAGAATTCCCCACTAACTGTCGGCCTGATCAATGTCCTCATTGGTTTCACTATCCAAAACAAAGAGCCCTTGTTTCTTTGCACACATTATGGCAACTAAACCCTGTCTGTCTGTCCCCTAGTTGAGCCGCCCACAGCACATTCACATTGCAAAGACACCCAAACTCTGACGATAAAATACCTCCACTCTAAAATAGCACTTCAGCCTATAGCTAACCATTGAACAAAGATGACCACTGCATCACGCCTCCTTCCGATATTAGGCAGGCCATTGGAGCTATGCACTTTTAAATAAAGATTGAAAACGAATTACTTTAGAACTGTTTTTTTTGCGTGGTTAGTTTGTCGTCCTGGCTACGTACAGTTCGAAAGAAGTTCACCATACATACATAGCCATTGTAAGAGGGAAATCAACTCTCCTCAAACCTTTGTAATAATCCATGCCAACTTATAATGAATATAGTTGGGATTAATTGATAGACAACACGGTATGTTTACCAAGCCATACTTTTTGTTATTTTAAAATGCATTTTGACTTTTTGTATATATTTATAATATCACTTTCCACCACGTTTTGGATCATTCATGTACTCGCTGGAATACACAACTGACAGTAATTTGGCTTATTAATATTAACACATGCCAAAAATGTCCCCGCGTTAAAATCAACTATTTTATTGAGGCAGAGCAAATGAAACCCTCCAGGTAATATGATAATCTTTGTAAAATGTTCAACAGTCCAGATTGTTTAATAATAATAATAATTATATATAATTCTCAATCCTTTGTGAATCCATAGTTAGATGAAGGGCTTCCAATGCTGTGTCGGTCACATGGGTTATTTTACCATTCTATCATGTTGGTTATTTTTGGTTGACGGGAGACAGGGCAGAATCAGGTATCACTCACCACTTGCCATGATCAGGAATCAAAATCATCGCTGAGTTTCTAGCACAGCGCACTAACTAACCATCACTCCACCCCCAGATTATTTATTACGTACAACATTTATTTTATATTATCTCGAATTCGTAAATGCCTTATTGACAACAGAACATTCTGCCATCGCCCTTTTTAGCCTCATAAAGAACAACTGTGAACCTGATATAGTCTGGTATGTCTGATGTCCATCACACATTTAGTTCAACACTTTAGTGTAATCAAAGCTCGTGGGCTGACACCATCAGGCATCATTGATTTACGTCAATGGAATTTAACTGGATTTAAAGTAAAAACATAAACGAGTGCAGGTGTAAGTAGCAGTAGGGCACCTCTGCATGCAGCTCCTGGCTATAGGTGACGGCACCATCTCCCAGCGCGGCCCTGACCTCTTCCCGCTCTGCGGGGGGTACATTTTCCTCTATCAGGAGCCACAGAGAGGAAGAAGGCCTCAGCTCCCACTCCGCAGAAGATGCCTCCGCGTTGGGTGATGGGGCAGCCCACCTAGCCATCGCTCACCTGGAAATAGAGCAGTCAAGCGACCTTTATATACATGAAATTTTTTTTACCAGGTAAGGCCCAAGAGCTATATAGCTTTTTTCAGAAGTGACCTGGTTACAAATGATAGCCCAATGAAGTGGCTTATCATGTAGAAATTTATAGCAGCCAAATACGATACATGCATGTTCTAAATGTGGAGGGGAAAACCGGAGGACCTGGAGAAAAGTCCACACGACCACGGGGAGAACATGCAAACTCCAAATGTACAGGTCTCAGGGTTGAGATCGAACCCACGACCTCCCGTATACCAGGCGAGATAGTTAACATCTCCTAGTCACCACGGCACCCCTTCATGCATGAGTATCAGGAGCGCATGAGCGACGGTCATGTTAGAGTGATTAAAATGTGCAACGTATGTCAGTTATGCGACAGTGAAATGCATATGCCTCAGTCTTGGATTACATCTGGTGTATATTTACAGATCACAAGAATGCTTTGTGGGGTAAAATAAATTAAACGTATTAATAATATAATACCTTAACATCAATGAAGAGGAGCAATTCCGTATCATTTTAAATAATTTTAATGGGATAGCCCTCACAATCCAAGTACCTTGTCGGTACTGTACTACATGAAGTTTCAGGGGGACGATGGCAAAAGTTTAATCCGCATCCAGTGACGTTTTTGACTGGGTATAAAAACTCGATGTACCCCTGTATATGTTTCCATTGCCACGTGACAGAAAAAAAGATGAATGGTGTTGAAGATGAACTGATGGAAAATCATTGATAAGTGAGATCCTGTGTATATGATTATGGTTAACTGATGGACTCATGAATTAATGATGGACTGATCGTGAAAAATTGATGGGGTGATGCATGGGCAATTTCATGAGCATGTTTCGTGAATGAGAACAGAAAAATATAATTTTACCAAACGCTAAATGAATGAATGTGTAAATACGTAACTGAACAGTAATCATATTATTGGTTCTTTCGGTAAAGTCACGTAGAAGGGAAACAATAAAATAATACAAATCTAAAACGATAACATTCTCACGACGTTTCGACTGCAACACAAGCAATCATCATCAGGTGTGAAAACCACAACAAGAAAATTTGAAGGCCTCCTTATTGTGGTTTTCACACCTGATGATGATTGCTTGTGTTGCAGTCGAAACGTCGTGAGAATTTTATTGTTTTATATTTTTATTATTTTATTGTTTCCCTACTACGTGACTTTACCGAAAGAACCAATAACATGAATCCCTGCAGTCACGAAAGCTTTACATAAAAATTGAACAGTAATCCATCAATAAAGTAAAACCCTGGCTTGCACCGGATTTCGTCACACTAGGTGGCATGACAAATTCATAAAAACAATCTACGTGCAATATTTATAATGCACTGTAGATATTATACAATGTTTACATAATACATCCGATGTATAAAGTATGTCCATACTGTATACTTTCGATTACATTATGTAATATTCCATTTGTAACACAATGTATTAGGATAATTTCTAAGTTATGTAAATCTTATGAAGGGAGGAGCGTTATTCACGCGATCTTTACACAGCACACTGCAATGCGTATTGTTTGTTGGTCTGCACACAAACAAGCACACTACACACAGTCGTGTATGTATTATACATCGGTACATTTATATTGTACAGCACACAGGTTATTTGTTATTGTTGTTGGGTTTTTCTTTCCTTGTTTTTAATTGAAATCGCAACTCGCCGGACCAGGGCTCCCTCTACGATTATTATCACTCTACTCATGTTGTTTGTGTCTGTTGTAACTAACGTAACGTGTTCATGATGGAGGGACAGATGGATGATGGAATAATACTGACTATGAACACGATGGGTTAATGATAACGGATTGACGACGATATGTCATAAATGAATGATGAAATGTGGTCCATTGACCAAATCATTTGGAATATGGGCAACTTTGAAGCCAAGCAGTCGTGAGCCTGGATAGTGCTTGGATGGGCGATCACCATGCATATCACAGGTGCTATAGGCTGCTGCTGGTGTAGGTTTTGGATAGAAGACAGTCCAGAAAAATAGTGTTGTACTGTAATTATATGTTCCCACGTACGGTACGCATACGCCCCCCGATTTCACCAGACCCGCAGTGACTAGCGTGGTGAAGTATGCTCACGCAACCCCCGACGACCCGCACGGTCGTGAAGGAGGCCTTCATCCAGCAGTGGATCGACAATAGGGGACTGTACACGAACAGTAAAACCATTACAGTGGCATACAGTGCCCTGGCCACGAAGTCACACTCACCTGCGCGGGCGCGCTCAGCAGACAGCGCAAAAAACAACAACTTCGAATTAAAGCATCAATAAAGCAGCCACCGTGCACAATAAATATAAATCTTGTAAAATGTTAAGACGATTTGTACCCGCGGCGTCAGCTGATCCCAGCGCGCAGCGGCGTCGTCCGTAACCGCGGCAACGGTCGGAACAACTTTATTGACAGCGCGCTGTGGGGGGGGGGGGAGGAGGAGACGGGACAACTTTATTGACACACACCCAGAGCCTGCTGCTTTTATTTACATGTACGGTATTATAATACGCATGCATTCCAGTTTCCAGTTTCATTTAATTGGTATAGCCCTGTGAGCCATTCGGCTCTTGAATCGGGTGCAACCGCAACAAAGAAAAAACAAAAACATGAACAAGAAAACATCTTAAAGTGACTATGTGACTGTGCAAACAGAAAATCCAGGAAAAAAAACATCAAAATATTCCTGAAATAGCACCGTACATCAACGCTGTGTGCAAAAATCCCAGTGGGATGCAAATCAAACAACAACAACCACAAGACAACTAAGATTAAAGCCATCAGTCTAACTCCGTACTACAACAAACAAACATGGTCAAACCAAAAAACTTTTCGAAATCACCAAAATAAAGCCATAAAAGCAATGTAACAGTGATCATAGGAACTGTAACCGAATTTTCACAATAAACGACATAAACAACATGTAACACCAAACCCTAGACTCCTAGAGCCATAGCTGGCTGCATAGGTGTCAAACCCATACGGGTTACCCCGTATTCTTGTACAGGGAAATTGAGTGGTCAGGTCCGTATCATCAAATCTTGTAGCTCAATTTTAACCCACTTCCCAATGTGGTATCGACTGCAAACTTGGTATACTTATGTCATACTGATGACAACACTATATTCTATCATTAAAAAAATGAAAAAACTTTTTATATGTTATGTGTAAGCTTGGGTCTAATTGTCCACGCTCAACTAACGTTGGCTGTAAATCACCACGGTCCCCTTACGTTATGGCAAGCTTCATAGTCCATAGTTCATTTATTTGGTATAGCCCTGTGAGCCATTCGGCTCTTGAATCGGGTGCAACCGCAACAAACAAAAAACATGAACAAGAAAACATCTTAAAGTGATTATGTGACTGTGCAAAAACAGAAAATACAGGAAAAAAATATCAAAATATTCCTAAAATAGCACCGTACACCAACGCTGTGTGCAATAATCCCAGTGGGATGCAAGTCAAACAACAACAACAACCACAAGACAACTAAGATTAAGGCCATCAGTCTAACTCCGTACTACAATTAACAAAAACATGGCCAAAACAAAAAAAAACTTTTCGAAATCACCAAAATAAAAGCCATAAATGCAATGTAACAGTGATCATAGGGACTGTGATCGAATTTTTTACATAAATACGTGTTTTAAAAAAGTATTTTAAATATTACTTATTTTTTGACTATTTTTCTCCCATATGATGATCAGACTTTGTCGGATGAACGTTGATATTTATAAGGCGCACGGGGTGAACAATAATGTCTGAATTGGTCTGTAATAAGCTAGGCACTGATAAGGGGTTGACAGGTATATAGGGGGGGTATATAATATTCGACGTTTCGAGCAATGGCCCTTATTCATAGCATATCAAATAATAAAAAAATTAACGTGTGATTTTTATTTTAATGACACGTTTTATGTGCCATGAAAAAGGGCAATTTCCCGAAACGTCGCCTATTTTATATTATTTTTAGGTAGAGTTTACAAAAGAACGGACGTGCTGAGTTGTTTTATTGTATGTATATTGAACTTCTTTCGCACCGTACGTAGCCAACCACGCTCATCGGAGGTGCGGGGGAAGGACAACAAACTAAACACAAAAAAACTGTTTAAAATAAATGCGCCAATTCCACCGCAGTACGGAATCACCAATTTTGTTTAAAAAAAAAATAGACAAAGCAATGTCTGCTTTATATAGCCGTCTCTCCACGTAAAAAATAAAATAACCCAAAAGCGTTTCTCACACAAACCCCATCGGTCTCAGGGCCTTCTGGGAGTGTTATCATTTCAGCACCATTGATTGAGCACAAGCAATCCCTGGACACGTTGTCTCAAGGGCAGAGTCATGGCTGGTGAACTGCCGATGTTCTAGGTAAGGGCCCTCTCTTTAAGACACGGGTCCTACCCAGTAAATGTTCAACGCTGGGCTAACGTCGGAATGTGGTTGGAACAGTTGGATCAACGTTCCAAGTTACTGGACATCTGTGAAAAAGAGCTTTACAGCTCATCGGATTCCTCCAGTATAAATAAGTACAGTGAGGGAAAAAAACGTATTTGATCCCCTGCTGATTTTGTACGTTTGCCCACTGACAAAGAAATGATCAGTCTATAATTTTAATGGTAGGTGTATTTGAACAGTGAGAGACAGAATAACAACAACACAATCCAGAAAAACGCATGTCAAAAATGTTATAAATTGATTTGCATTTTAATGAGGGAAATAAGTATTTGACTCCCACTTAATCAGAAAGATTTCTGGCTCCTAGGTGTCTTTATACAGGTAACGAGCCGAGATTAGCACACTCTTAAAGGGAGTGCTCCTAATCTCAGCTTGTTACCTGTATAAAAGACACCTGTTCACAGAAGCAATCAATCAGATTCCAAACTCTCCACCATGGCCAAGACCAAAGAGCTCTCCAAGGATGTCAGGGACAAGATATTAGACCTACACAAGGCTGGAATGGGCTACAAGACCATTGCCAAGCAGCTTGGTAAGAAGGTGACAACATATACTTAGCTCTTTCGGTAAAGTCACGTTGAAGGGAAACAATAAAATAATAAAATATATATAAAACAATAAAAATTCTCACGACGTTTCGACGATGACACAAACGGTCGTCATCAGGTGTGTCGGTTTGCATTAATTTATTTATTTTAAAACGGTGTATTTATTTATAAAAAAAAAACGTCAGCACCACACGCAGTGATTTGGCAGTTTATTTAGAAGGACTAGTCCATCTATGTTCTGAAAAGAGGAGGGGGGAGACGAAAAATTAATGTATGCTGTCTGAAAGCCACTGTAAGCATGAACAATCAATTAAGACCTGAAATGGTTAATCAAATCTTTCCAATGATTGCTAAGCCAGAATCCATCTTCTCGGTTGAAATTGTCTCTATGCTTGTATATGTGGATAGCCTCATGAACGAATCTCTCATGGTAGCCAGATGGCTTACAAAGAACCTCTGTCTTGGAAAGTCAATGTCATGTGAGCCTACTGAATTATAACAATGATCTGCCATGGCCGAGGTGTTGGTCCTACCGTGTTTAAGGTCTGCTTTGTGTTCATGAATGCGGTCCGAGACATGGCGTTTGGTTTCTCCAATGTAACTACTACCACAGAGGCAACTTAGTTTGTAGACACCAGGGTACTGTATGTCCGGAATCACATCTTTTACAGACGGAACCAGATCACGGACTTTATGTAATGTGTTGAAACGGACCTGGATCTTGTGTTTATTCAAGATTTTGGAGATCTTTTTTGTGATCCCCGCAACGTGACTTTACCGAAAGAGCTAAGAACATGAATTACTGCAGTCACGAAAGCTTTAAATCAAAGGTGACAACAGTTGGTGCGATTATTCGCAAATGGAAGGAACACAAAAGATCTGTCAATCTCCCTCGGCCTGGGGCTCCATGCAAGATCTCACCTCATGGAGTTGCAATGATCATGAGAACGGTGAGGATCAGCCCATAACTACACGGGAGGATCTTGTCAATGATCTCAAGGCAGCTAAGACCATAGTCACCAAGACAACAATTGGTAACACTACGCCGTGAAGGACTGAAATCCTGCAGCGCCCGCAAGGTGCCCCTGCTCAAGAAAGCACATATACATACCCGTCTGAAGTTTGCCACTGAACATCTGAATGATTCAGAGGACAACTGGGTGAAAGTGTTGTGGTCAGATGAGACCAAAATGGAGCTCTTTGGCATCAACTCAACTCGCCGTGTTTGGAGGAGGAGGAATGCTGCCTATGACCCTAAGAACATCATCCCCATCGTCAAACATGGAGGTGGAAACATTATGCTTTGGGGGTGTTTTTTCTGCTAAGGGGACAGGACAACTTCACCGCATTAAAGGGACGATGGACGGGGCCATGTACCGTCAAATCTTGGGTGAGAACCTCCTTCCCTCAGCCAGGGCATTGAAAATGGGTCGTGGATGGGTATTCCAGCATGACAATGACCCAAAATACACGGCCAAGGCAACAAAAGAGTGGCTCAAGAAGAAGCACATTAAGGTCCTGGAATGGCATAGCCAGTCTCCAGACCTTAATCCCATAGAAAATCTGTGGAGGGAGCTGAAGGTTCGAGTTGCCAAACGTCAGCCTCGAAACCTTAATGACTTGGATTTGATCTGCAAAGAGGAGTGGGACAAAATCCCTCCTGAGATGTGTGCAAACCTAGTGGCCAACTACAAGAAACGTCTGACCTCTGTGATCGCCAACAAGGGTTTTGCCACCAAGTACTAAGTCATGTTTTGTAGAGGGGTCAAATACTTATTTCCCTCATTAAAATGCAAATCAATTTATAACATTTTTGAAATGCGTTTTTTTGGATTTTTTTGTTGTTATTCTGTCTCTCACTGTTCAAATAAACCTACCATTAAAATTATAGACTGATCATTTCTTTGTCAGTGGGAAAACGTACAAAATCAGCAGGGGATCAAATACTTTTTTCCCTCACTGTATTCTGATGACTGGGTATAGTTCGCACCTCCGATCAGCACCGTTACCTCCGATTAGCACGGTTGGCTACATCCTGTGCGAAATAAGTTCAACATCCATGCATAATTATAATATGAATAACAGAAGAGACAAGCAAACACATTCCTGCGAAGGGAGCTGGTAGGAACGTTGGGTTGCTCGGTCAATGGCCAGGGTGAACGGCGGCACCACGTGGTGTATTCCGCAAATATGCTCGACTGTGAGGGCAGGCACAAGTCGGCGTGAGTAGGTGAAACGTTGAGTTTTATAAGGGCACCATGGGGTGACCAGCGCCTCCCCACCCAGCCCCTCCCCACCCAGCCCCTTCCCACCCAGCCCCTCCCCACCCTCCCCACCCAGCCCCTCCCCATGCTCCCCACCCACCCAGCCCCTCCCCACCCTCCCCTCTCCACCCAGCCCCTCCCTCCCCACCCAGCCCCTCCCCACCCTCCCCTCTCCACCCAGCCCCACCCCTCCCATTTTTGGATGCACGATGGACGGACACAATAATCCCCTGTGGGCTGGTGGTGTAACCAGGAGGTTCTTACCAGTATCAAAATGTTTCATTCATATGTCT